AAATTTTATTACGCTAAAAGGGAAGTATAAATATAATGACAAACTCTGAATGAACGTTGGGTTTTATTTTTAAAAAATGATATACCAGGCAACTCCACCCCTGTATTAAGCCCGGTATTTTGAGGACAGTGTAGGGAATGAGAGAGCAACTACTACAGCAAGGGGAATCTGACAAATCTATCCCCTGTTGTTGTAATGAGAGTGACTGCTGTTAAGGGTAAAAGGGTGTGCACTCACGCACTGTTACATGCTCCGCTCGCATAGAAACAACTCATCCACTCTCCAGCTTCAAGAGTCAAATGTGGCCTTAAATGGCAAGGCTGGCAAGAGCGTACACCCACGCTTTGGAACAAAAAAAATACTATGCACTTTGTAAATTAAATAACACACAAAAAGTAGCGTTTCTTCAGCACAGAAACATGCGTTTAGACTATTTGGCTGCTACCAGAAATTTCCAACATGATAAGCAACTTTGTCGAGCTATCATTTGTGGTCAGGCCGCTTCTGAAAAAGGGATATTTAGGTCAGTAGGCCTTTCCGAGTAAAATAAAAATAGTTTTTAAGATTCTTGTTTTATAGAATAAAAGAGTTCATTGTATTGGTGTTTGTGAATAAGAAATAGTGCGGGTAGTGGTGGCGTGGTTGATAATTCACTCTGCTACAATACGAGTAAGATCTGAACCGGTCTTGTGCCTCCTGCAGTTCAACTCAGATTTAAATGAATTAATGGTGAGGTGTGTAAACCTCAGCATTGGGAAAACAAAGGTGGCCGGGCGTGGTCCTGACCACAACCACCCCCTCATGCGCCGTGCCGGCCTTCATGGATGGTCACCAACAGCACTTGCCCCAAGTATGTGTGGAAGCTCTATGGGGGGTGGTTATCTTTTAACGTGCTCTTAACTTGTGGGGGGAAAAAACCTCTTTCCCAGTTGGTTGTTAAATACTGTACATATACACATGTAAAGTAAGAATATATAATTGTACACATTATTACACTTTCAACAACTGCCATTCATCACTAAGTGGTCGTGACGTCACCACTGAGCTTGTGCCAGGATAGGTGCACGCTGAGGCCACGTGAATTGTCGAAGGCCTGCTGGAAGGTCTCGTGAGAGACCCGGGTGTTTCGGGTTGACCCGACTGATGCGACCGGCAAGATCCACCACCTGTGTGCCTCCACCGTGCAAACTTTCAGCGTTTTCGCCACCCGGCACCAATACATACCGCATCAATTATTTGATTCCGAATTCAAGCTTACGCGCGTGATAAGTCACGTTTTCCCATCCCTAGATGTTGTATGTATCGGGTTCGCATGACCTCTCCAGCCATTAGGGGTCGCTACATTCACCACAATGTTAAACAAATCAACTATTTATGCACCAAATCATGACCCCTGATTTGCGACAATTCATCGAATCGCGAGGGGGAAGGGGCAGAAATTGTTGCACCCACAAGATCTATATTAAGTTGCATCTGTTGCCAAAAATCAACAGCTAACATATCGTCACTCTTCGGCTGTTGATATAATTATACACTTCTAATCATATCACTGTTTCATGAGTGTACGGGCATGAGCAGTCAACACATACAGTATATACCGTCCCGATACACACATAGATACCACAATTGATTAAATAACACAAAACCGGTCTTAGGCAACTTTAGGTATCTCAGGATCCATGTTATTGCCTGAGGCTCACAGAGCTCGACTAAGGCACCTTTAAGATTCTTAGAGTTGAATATTATAGCCCAAGGCTCAGAATAAAGCACCGTTAGAATCCTTAACCATAAGTGTTCATGTCTAAGGCTCAGAGCCAGACCGAGGCACCTTTACGATTGTCAGGACTCGGTGTTAATGGACGAGACTCACGGAAAAAACTAAAGGTACAATGAGGATTATATGGTTCACAGAGCCAGAGTCAGGCCTCCTTAGGATTGTTAGGATACCGTGTTCAACTAAACTACTTTGTTTTACTAGGTACGGTCCACCGAGCTATACATCTCTTTTTCAGAAGCGACCTGGCCACAAATGATGGCTCAATTAAGTGGCTTACCACGTGGAAATGCATAGCAACCTAAATACTCTAAACGCATGTTGATTCAAAGTGTGGAGGGAAAAATCCGAGGAGACGGAGAGAAATCCACGTGACCACGGGGAAAACATGCAAACTACAAATATACAGGCGTCAGGGTCGGGATCAAACCCACGAACCTCCTGTATACCAGGCGAGATAGTTAACATCTCGTTACCGTAAAGCTCAAAGGGCTACATTGAGACACAATTAAGCTCCTCTATGTTAATGGTCAATGTTAATGGTTGCATCTGATAGATCCAAGGCACATACCAAAAATCCTGAAAGTTCAACATTACTACGACCTGAAGCTCAAACAGCCAGACTAAGGCATTATCAGCCAATTCACTTATGGATAAAGACCTCCCGCAGCCAATGCCATCTCTCACATTCTTGTGATGTACTCATCCTTAGAGCGCATGTGCACTCGCCAATTCCACACCTCCATTTTTCCAGTGGACATATTGCCAGGCCGCATTACATTATCCTGGCTGACAAATCCGTTACTATTTTTCACCAGCCAAATTGAATGCCCCAAATTATTCGATCCAAACTAATTTACCCTCGGCATGCTTAAACATTCCACGTTGTTACCGCAGGCTCACAGAGCCAGACTAAGCCCCCTTTGTAATCCTCAGGATCCAACATGAATCACACAAGACTAAGCAAAATAAGTAATGTATTACACCACCCTACGTGTTTCTATGATAACGAATTGGCAGTGGTGCACAGGCAAAACATAATGATTAAAAACTCAACACATTGGTAATAAGAGAAGCCAGAGACGGGGTTAACAAATGGTTTGGGCCCTGATAGAAATTACATTTTAAGAATGTTTAGAGATGAACGGTGTGTTTGTAGGTGCAGTATTCAGAAACGGGCCAACCCCTTAACACAACACAAAATATGCGTAAACTAGTTTGAATAACAGGCGACGTTTCGGGCAAAACCCCTTACTCATAGCAGATCTCATGTTATGTTTGAGGAATCCCAACAAAAGAGTGTAGAGAACCCCCATACAGTGCGCTGGAAGGCACCCAACCCACATTCCTGGGAGTGTTGGGGTTTCGGTTAAACATAGATCACAAATTCAACTAACTCTCTGTACACGTGCTCACTTCTCACAACGCCAACGCCACTTGCAGCAAGGCGATGAGCCGATCACGCTCAAGCAGTGTGCGATGATGACCTTAGCTGCTGGGGGAGGGGGGGGTCACCTTCATCCAGCGGTGGATAGACGTGGGGCTTGACGGTGACCCCGTGGATGCAATACCGATGCGATTCCGATCATCTGCAAAGATTGCTGCTGAACTAAAGTTTCCATCAGAGCAACCGCGGTGAAACTGGTATTCCCCTCACTCTCTGGCCCTTCTCCGTGTGCCACGAAGGAGGCCCATTGCGTGAAACGTCGAATCTGATATTTTTTAGCCGTTTTAGGACCGTTATGTTATTTGCAAATGCGTTGAGTTTTTCATCATTCGGGAGATCGCTATGCAATGCCATGTATGTACACGTATTTTGTACGTGGGTATGTACATCCCTTTGTACACAGTGGGTTTTTTCGGTAAAGTCACGTAGGTAAAAAATATAGTAATAGAAATAAAATAATCTATTATTATTTTTATTTTTTATTTATTTGTATTTTTTACCTACGTGACTTTACCGTAAAAAAAACCTAAGAGTATGAATCCTTGCAGTCACGAAAGCTTCAAATCTAGAAATAATGTGTCTTTTTAAACATGCGTGGGCTGCATTTAAACAGCGGGGAGACAACGCCGACTGAACACAAAGATAAAGATCCCCCGCGTAGCCTCTCGCCGACTTGGGGGACAAGTGCCTTCGTCCCCCCCCCCCCCCCCAGTGTCGAAGGGCCGAGATGACCCCGAAGAGGCCCCCCGGGAGCGATCGGGTTGGGATCACCACTGGCCACTGATGTTAGCCGTGAGCGAAAACCCAACCAGATCCACCGCTCCCCCCCCACCACACACTAACCCCACACGCATGTGCGCACATACAGTACCCACACGCATGTGCGCACATACAGTACCCACACGCATGTGCGCGCATACAGTATCCACACGCATGTGCGCACATACAGTACCCACACGCATGTGCGCGCATACAGTACCCACACGCATGTGCGCACATACAGTACCCACACGCATGTGCGCACATACAGTACCCACACGCATGTGCACACATACAGTACACACACGCATGGTAATAAAGATTCCCCTGGTCACGGCTGACATCAGTGGCGCATGATGTACGCAGCGGGCTCTTCTCCTACCTAGGTCGGCTCGGCCTTAAATGAGTGCCCGGTGCGGTGTGTGAACAACATCGGTCCGGGGGGGGGAGAGACAAAGGCGGCCGGGCGTCGTGCCGGGCTCTTTGTTTAATAGGCGCTCGCTAACATCACTTGCCCCCCCCACAGAGCCCCGTGTAGGAAGATTTGTGTCTGTTGTGACTTTCACACGCGACTTTTACGATCTGAAGAAGACACTCCGACAGAGATTCTCCCTCCCTCCCCTCCTGTTTATCGCGATATACAAACATCGTTGCCCAAACACACCAACACCAGACTAGTATTACTTGTTGTTGTTGTTAAATCGTTAAATAAATGTAGAGAAGTTCGTGGGCCCAGGCCACCACGTTGTTCGTAGATGGTGAATGATGGCCGGTGGGTGAAGAATAACGAGACGAGAGGGTGAGGCAGAGGAGGGTTGGAACACGTCCGAGAGAGAGAGAGAGAACAACCACCGAGGAGACGGAGCGATGAGATCGGTTATTGTAACACGTGGAGGTCGCAGCAGCAGCAGCATGGCGAGAGATGAGAGGCAGATTTGTCGAGGGGTGTTCATCCAGCAGTGGATTGGCGACGACAACAACACATTGACAATGAAGCCGACACAAAGCGAATCCACGTACCTGGCCCACCACCAAACCCCCCACTTGGTACACGGCGATCCGATGCTGTAGGCCCCTGTGTGGTGGTGTGGGGGGGGGCTCGAGAAATCCGCGTTCGTCTCGCGTTGTGCGGTACTTCTATGCGCGCCACTCACCCCGTAGCTAGCGGGCACCGCGGTTCGGGTGCGGGAGGAGGAGGAGGAGGTGGACGTCTCCACCGCGCTGCGCCAACCCCACGTCGCCTCTCCGCCCTCCCCGCAGACACCCAGAGCGCCACCCCCTCGCCCGGGCGCGAAGGCGCCGCCTTCGTGCGCGCGTCACCGCACGGGAGAGCGGCGGGGGCCCTGGGGGTGATGGGGGGAGAGGTGGGGGGAGGTGGGGGGGAGAGGTGGGGGGGGAGGAGGGGGGAGAGGTGGGGAGGGAGAGGAGAGAAGGGAGGAGGGGAGAGAGGAGAGGGAGGAGGAGGGGGGAGAGGTGGGGGGGGAGGAGGGGGGAGGAGGGGGAAGAGGTGGGGGGGGGAGAGGTGGGGGGGGGAGAGGTGGGGGGGAGAGGTGGAGGGGGGAGGAGGGGGAGAGGTGGGGGGGAGAGGTGGGGGGGAGAGGTGGGGGGGGAGAGGAGGGGGGGAGAGGAGGGGGGAGAGGTGGGGGGAAGAGGTGAGGGGGGGAGGTGGGGGGGAGAGGTGGGGGGGAGAGGGGGAGGGGGGAGAGGGGGAGGGGGGAGAGGAGAGGGGGGAGGAGGGGAGAGAGGAGAGGGGGAGGGGGGAGAGGTGGGGGGGAGAGGAGGGGGGAGAGAAGAGGGGGGAAGATGTGGGGGGAGGTGGGGGGAGAAAGGTGGGGGGGAGAGGTGGAGGGGGGAGGAGGGGGGAGAGGTGGGGGGGAGAGGAGGAGGGGGAGAGGTGGGGGGGAGAGGAGGAGGGGGGAGAGGTGGGAGAGGTGGGGGGGAGAGGAGGAGGGGGAGAGGTGGGGGGGAGAGGAGGAGGGGGGAGAGGTGGGGGGGAGAGGTGGGGGGGAGGGGAGAAAGAGGGAAGAGGAGGAGGGGAGTGGGGGGGATGTGGCCGGAATTTTTTTGGGTGGAAGGGGGAGGGAGAGAGGCTTTGGATTGTTTGAGACGTGCGTCGATAACTAACTTGTACACAAAGTTTTTAGACAAAGATCCCCACGTGTAGCCTTAACAGACTGTAGGGAAAAGCGCTGTTAGCGAGCACCTATAAAGGCCGGCACGGGCACACGAGGGGGGGGTGGACAATATGACCCAGCCAATGCAGCCTTGCCTGCTGGAGGAGTTCACCGATGGGACTTTGTCCAGATCTTTCAAGGATTTGTGAGCTCCTCACACAATCCAGCCTGGTTAAACCCAGGATGGATCGTAGGCAGGCCAGCCGAAATGGTTCTCACCGGCGAAGATGTTCCGTTAGGGGGGTCCACGTTTCGCGAGCGTAGAGAAGGGAGGGCATGACTGTGGCCGAGAAGACCTGAAGCTTCGTGCGGAGCGACAGACCAGGTGGCTTCCACACAGCTTTACGCAACCAATGAAAGGATAATGCCACTCGACTGATTCGGAGTGAGACCTCTGCTGTCAAACCGGAACAGCTCATGAGCACACTGCCCAGGTATGGGAAACTCTACACTCTCTCCACTACTGCCCCATCACCAATTGGGAGTTGTGGGGGTGGAGTGTCCGATAATACAAAATACCCAGGCAGATGCTTAATTTTGGTGGGGCTAATGGTAAGGCCCCACCTCTTAGTGGCAAGCTCCAGGTTCAGCAGCAGCGCCTCCAACTTCTCCTCTTAATGAGCAGCAATCACCAATCATCAGCATACATAAGCTGGTTGACCAATAAGGAGCCATCCCTCGAACGCACTCGAGCATCGATCAGCCTCCCGTTGTATCTGTACCAGATGTAAATTCCTCCGGTACATGATTATTTGGTTCTTTCGGTTAAGTCACGTCTAAAGAGAAAATAATAAATTAAATTAAATAATAGCATACGACGTTTCGATTGCAACACAAACGTCGTATGCTATTATTTAATTTAATTTATTATTTTATCTTTAGACGTGACTTAACCGAAAGAACCAAATAATCATTTACTGCAGTCACGAAAGTTCTAAAATTAAGATTCCTCCGGTACACCCATGGAAAGCTTCTCGAACTACCTGGTCAAAGATGATGTTAAATAATGTGGCTATGCGTTAATTGTGTGTTGACTGACCCTCTGTGTTGCATTGCATTACATTGCGTTACAACAAACACCTGAAGACGATTGCTTGTGTTGCGATCGAAACGTCGTGATATTGTTATTATCTTTTATTATTTTTCTATCTACGTGGCTTTGCCGAAACACCCAAAGAATATAATACAAAAATCCACGCACACTCCACATCCATACTCCCCACACACACACTCCCCACACACACACACACCACATACTCCCCACACACACACCACATACTCCCCACACACACACCACATACTCCCCACACACACACCACACACTCCCTACACATACCACACACTCCCTACACACACACTCCCCACACACACACACACACCACACACTCCCCACACACACCACATACTCCCCACACACACACCACACACTCCCTACACACACCACACACTCCCTACACACACACTCCCCACACACACACACACACCACATACTCCCCACACACACACACACCACATACTCCCCACACACACACACTCCACACACTCTCCACACACCACACACTCCCCACACACACCACATACTCCCCACACACACCACACACTCCCTACACACACACTCCCCACACACACCACACACTCCCCCACACACCACACACTCCCTACACACACACTCCCCACACACACACACACACACCACACACTCCCCCACACACCACACACTCCCTACACACACACTCCCCACACACACACACACACCACACACTCTCCACACACCACACACTCCCCATACACACCACACACTCCCCACACACACACTCCCCACACACACACACCACATACTCCCCACACACACACACCACATACTCCCCCCACACACACACCACATACTCCCCCCACACACACACCACACACTCCCCCACACTCCACACCCATACTCCCCCCACACACACACACCACATACTCCCCCCACACACACACACCACATACTCCCCCCACACACACACACCACACACTCCCCCACACTCCACACCCATACTCCCCACACACACACTCCCCACACACACACACCACATACTCCCCACACACACACACACACCACATACTCCCCCCACACACACACACCACACACTCTCCACACACCACACACTCCCCACACACACCACATACTCCCCACACACACACACACTCCCCACACACACCCACCACACACCCCCACCACACACTCCCCACACCCACACTCCCCACACACACACACCAAACACTCCCCACACTCCCCACACACACACACATCACTCACTCCCCACAACACTCACTCCCCCCACACACGCCACACACACACATCACTCACTCCCCACAACACTCACTCCCCCCACACACTCCCCACACACACACATCACTCACTCCCCACAACACTCACTCCCCCCACACACGTACGCCCAAGCCACCAAGTGAGTGCGCCACGTGGGCCAACCCCAATCCGCGCATCACCGCTCTCCACCACAGGCTCGGCCTCTCCACTGCTCTCGCCTGGCCCCCCCTCGCTGACTCCGCCCCCCTCCCGCCCACCGCCACCCCCACCTCCACAAGCGTCACGTGACACTCGGCGATCGATTGCGCGCCCTGCAGCCTTCTTTGTTCGCCGGAACACGATGGCGGAGACAGACGTGAGTCCGGGCTCCCGTCACCTCGCCCTCTTCATCGCCTCTCGCCTTCCCCCAAACGCCGCCGACGCTGCGCCCTGTCCGTCCGCACCCCCCCCGCCTCCCCCCTTCCTCATCTCGGGCTGAACGAGCGAATCTCGGGACGGGAGGGTTTCTTTGTGGCGTGGCGAAAACGTAGCGCGGCCGACGCGGCGCCTCATCCTTTCCATGTAGGCCTCGGCCGCATGGGGCTTGCGCAGAGAGGGGGGGGACGCTGTGGACTGTTGCAGCGGACTAATCGGCGAGCGGTCGACGTGCTTGAATGTTTTCTCGAAGGTTAATTTGTGCCCGCGGTTTGGTCCGCGCGGGATGGTTGGGGCGCCTGGGTCGTGGAAGGGATGTGCGGTCGGGTAGGCCCCGCCGCTTGAGCCTGGGCCCACGTGGGTGGCCCGTGGGTGACACCGGCGCGGACATCGGCCTCGTGGGGGGAGCCTCAGGCTCGCTTAGAGACGCGGACTAACGATGAGAGACGTACATTCGTTATTGAGCTACGTCGACTTGCACAGGGACCCGTATATTTTTAACGCATAAGACCCATGTGCTGGCGGAGACCCACAGGCTCCATTAGACGCCCGACAGATTCTCGGGGCGAGCGCGGCTAATTCTGAAATAGAGCCGGCGAATTTGTTTTTTAAGCCGGCAAGTGGCGTTGCGTGGTCTATCGCATATGCCGTGCGATTCACAGCGCGTAAGTCTCGTTTTAATTGATCCGCGCTTAGGGAGACGGAACGCGAAAGTGTGTAACTCGAATGTGCCGTGCCCGGGTTTGTGATTCGCGTTGCCTGGCGCCAGTTTTACGTTTCAGGAACGTCAAAGAATATTCTCTAAAGCTCGTCCCTCGTGGCAGTCGACCGGCTTCATTGCGTCTAATTTTTTTTTACGTGCGAGCGGCAAATGGTGACTTCCCGGGTGCGATATTATCGCGCGTGGCACCAGTCCGCGATTTAGCATAAAAAAATGTCACTCCTTAGGCCTAACTCGTGGTGTTTCCCCGGATGTAAAAATAAAACCTTTGATAATTTTACACCACGAGGAAATTGCTAAATTGGAGTTGCTAATAAACTTTTGTAGAGCCTGAACGGCTGAAAATATTTAAAAAAATTGAAAACCAAAACGCAAATAAGGTGATTTTAGTCTCGACGCGCTTCGGCTGAATGCAATGACTGAAAAAATTGAACTTTTGCCAGTATCAAAGTATTACAAAATAAGAATAGATTTGCCCCTTTATGGCAAATAACAGGAGGTGTTAAGATGTTTAAACACCTAATAGAAACATTTTGCAAGGAATCAAGTTCTGCATTAACCACACGTAATTGTGGTGAACATGCAAATAATGATATACAGCTCCTGAGATGCATGCTTTCCCACGCCGTTCGGGTCATGTTGGTTGTCTTGGCCATACCTCGCCACGCTGGTCAGTGCGGGTTTGAAATGGAGGGACGAGGCGCTTGCTTTGATAACGCCCCATCGATGTTTTTGCATCGTCCGGGAATTGAAATCGGATGGCCGTGTTTTAAAAGTGGCGTGCGAGCTAACAACTTAAACACGCGCTCCCCCTTCCCCCACCCCTGTTGGTCATAATCAAGTTTCATTCATTTAACCAGGAAGTCGTATTGCCTACAACACGTGGTCATTGCGAGTCTGTTCTAAATACTAAGCAGGCTGAAGCTTACAAAGTAAAAAAAAACAGTTCAGGTTGATTCGTTTGTTAAACTTGAGCTCGTGATAATACAGCGCACAACTTAATAATATACCGATCTTTGTGAATCAAATACTTAGTACAGCTTTAAAGATAATTAATCCACTTCATGTGTTTTAACAAAGAGCCAACAGGATACATACGACACAGATATCAAATTCGTACCATGTCCCATACGTGCTCGTGCATGTACAATCCACTGTCGGTCATGGGAGAGGCATACATTTAAGTAAAATGTTATTCACAACCATATAAAAGTCATGTTATAAAGCTAATTATCAAATTAATTGCTTAAAGTAACGTGTAGATTTTACTGTCTCTGCAACAGGAGGTTCTTGACCTTCAAGCCAATTGTTCTAAAGGCAATATTGAGGTCTATTAAAACTCCAATTAAAACATTTAATTCACCCATTTCATAACGTGTTATATGGTAGAATGTTTTACTACAATTGAAAACCTGTCTTCTACACTTCCTCATGGAGCTTTCAAAAGTCATGTGGCACTAAAAATAAATTGGCTGCATTGTTTAACGACGCACGACACGGAGCGGTGAGGTAGGGGCACATCGCTATTGTTCCGCCATCTGGATTTGGCCAGACGCATGGAAATTATTTCGAATTTGGCAAGTCGAAGTATTCGGGGGTGGGGGGGGGGCGCATGTTAAGTAGCGACGGGGGTCCCATAAGGAATATTGGTTGAGGAAGGGGCAGAACATATTGCTTACCCCCTCACCCCTGTCCAAAAAATTAGAGGGGTGGAGATACCCCTCGAATGTGTTTCTGCATTCAGTGTTTTTGAGGATCACTACTGCAGGAGTCCCAGTTGGCGATTGTGTTTGGGTCTCAGCCAATGAGGGGAGTGGGTGTCCCTTGTCGCCCTAACAATACCACATCCTCTTTTATAACACCACCTCCCATCTCGGCACTTCCTTTCAACGGCTACACCACTCTTCAACACTCCTGCCACCTCAATCTCAACATCACTGCCACTCCTTAAACATAGCTACCTCTATCACTACCGTTCCCAACACCACTGCCACCCTTTTCAACATCACCCTCCGTAATCCCCGCACATGGCACCGCCCCTTCTGCCACCACCACGGTGATGCCACGGTCTGAGCCTCTGTTGTCTGTGGCCCAGGTGACGATGTCCCAGGAAACCCCGACCCCGACTGTCAACGGGAGTGTGGAGGGCACTGCTCCGAACGCGGACGAGATGACGTCCAAGGACTACTACTTCGACTCGTACGCCCACTTCGGCATCCACGAGGTTTGTCAACGGCACCGATCCGGCCCTGGCGTTCCTTGTTGCCTCGTAGCAACGTGCAACTTGCAAGACAAATTGCACCAATGTTACACTTACAGCACCTTGTCAATACAGTGGTGAATGAGGGACCCCCTCCACACCGTGTGGGTCCTGGGTGGCATTTGACCAGACTTCACCACGCTGGTCAGTGTAGGTTGGTGGAAGATCAAAGCACGGAAGCAAAGTAAAAACAATGGATTGTGCTTGCACTGCCCTCTGCTGCTGCCCACGATATAGCACAGGCTGCTGCGGGGCTGTGTGCTGCATTACCAATTCGATAATAAATTCACATCACCTTCATAATACTGATTAATATTGCCTTCATGACTGCAATGTATGCGTTTCATGCCCAGTCTTGTATTAAGATTGAAAGTAAATTCTGAGATTGTTTCCGTATTTCATGTTCGGACTGTGCTAGGATGATCATGTGTTGTCTCCCCAGATGCTTGTTAAAATGTATTTACTCATTGGTTGCTCACATGGTTTGGAATCAAATACAGCATTTGGTAATATACAGTATTTGGTAAGAACAAAACAGCTGATATGGAGTTGGGCAGGACATATCTGAGCATCGTATAACAGATGTAATTGAATTAATAAAGGACTGGAGGCTAGTGGAGGGAAGGAGAAAAGTCTCCGTAGATAAGATGGCGTGTCGAGCTTAGGAGATTTGAGCGAGCACACTGGGTGGAGGGGTGCAAGATATTGTGGAGTGGAAAGACATTGCAGGAGATTTTCCCAGCAGTGGGATGGTCACCACAAATAAATATCTGTTCAGTTTTGGTTCACTTTTCACCAAGCCCCCGGTAATCCTGTGACGCAGTGATTATAGACTGTTTTAGGCGGAGCAGAGGGTGAGGCGTCTGTCACCAGTTCTGATGATATTGCATTGAGAATGAGAGTCATTAGCCAAGCTGTTCTCTTAACGGGTTCTTGAGACTTCGCTCATGTCCTCTTCCACATCATTTCTGACTCGTGCTTCCAATAACGAAGTCCAAAGTCCGCACGAAGTGTGTGACATCACTGCTCCTTGTGAAACCATCTGCAACGCTACTGCCCGGCTACACTGTGTGAACATAATTAATGAGTAAAGATCTAATTGGCCGGCAGCAAAGCAATACTTGAGGGTTTGAGTGTCCTCCAGTTGTGAGTAGGCTTGGAATGGGTCAGCCGAGGACTATAAGAACTATCGCTATCGACCGCACGGGTATCAACGCATACTTCCTTTTAACGAAATCACTTGTGCTAACACTGCTGGCGTCATGGATACCACACCCAGGACATTATTGTGGGATCTTGCTCGACACGTAGTGATCAGTTCATCGATGAAAATTTATTTTTTATGCTCGGCGTCATGCGTTTCCAATTGCGTGTAAAAGAATGATTCACAATCTGCAAATTATTTGTAAATGATTTTCCACTTACAGGGTCATATTGAGAACAAAATTATATCATTTGACTCAAAGAGATTGAGTTAATTTACATCAATACAATAGCTGTTTGAGGCGATGTTTTTTTTAATAATCAACTTGAGCTACATTGTTAATGTGGGTAAAGCCACGTGTTGAAGTTGCTATAGCAAAACTGATCACTGGAGATTTGTTGTTGGTTAAATGCTTCGTTGCTTATGAGGTTAACGGTCGTGGCGGCGGTGTTTTTGACATTCCAGGAGATGCTGAAGGATGAGGTGCGGACAAGGACTTACCGTAACGCCATGTACCACAACCGCCACCTCTTCAAGGACAAGGTGGTTCTGGATGTAGGCAGCGGCACGGGCATCCTCTGCATGTTCGCCGCCAAGGCTGGAGCCAAGAAAGTCTTTGGGGTAAGAACCCAGTTCCACACTCTGCTGGATTAACAATAACAACGGTGTCATTTAAACAGGAAAGCTTCACTGACAATGTGTGTTTTCAGGATGGGACTCCTGTGTTGGGATGTTTGTCCGCTTCTCGTCAGAAGTGCTTTGCATGTGCGAGAGAAAAACCACTCGTTGGCGATTATGATCGAAGATCCAACTGCTAGCTGCTTAGGAGCTTTCTGGCTTTGGCAATTTGACAAAGCTGAATGTGTGTGGTCTACCAACCCTTTAAAGTGATAGATTACAGGTTGCATTGTTCAGAAATTAAAGTTATTGCCGGTTGTTTGCTCGCTAATCACAGCCCTGGATTAACGGTGTTTTCATTTTTCTTTTGTGCAGATCGAGTGCTCCAACATTGCAGACTATTCACAGCAGATCATCAAAGCCAACAACTTGGATTCAGGTTAGTTTTCTACATTGTAGTAGGACTTTTTCCCACTGTCTATTGACAGCCTTCTGCTAGGTTTGTACTGCTGGATGAAGGCCACCCCACAATGTGTCATTGATGGAGGTTGTTTGACAATACTTCACCGCGCTGGTCAGTGTGGGTTGGCCAAAGGGGAGAGGATCTAGGTTGGGTTAGATATCACTCGCCACTGGTGTTAGTGATGGCTGGGACTCAAACTCGGGTTACTGGGTTCGTAGCCCAACATGCTACACGGGCTCCACCCCCTATTTTGCCCATTAAATGTAAGGATTTGCCTTAGGTATGTAGGTACTGAGCCACTGAGATCCGCATATTTATTACACACTTGACTCACGGCCACTGTTTGAGATAAATCGGCCCATTTTTTTCTGTGTTGTCTAAAGATGCGGTGGCATTTAGATGCCACACAAATCCAAATAGTATTACAACTGCATTTGTGTAGGGTGGCTCACGGCAGTGTGATGGCACCATGTTGTACGTATGTTGAACTTGTTTCGCGCCATACGGAGTAAACCGTGCTCATCAGGTGCCAACGCATGTTTTCGTTGTGTGTCCTCAGTGATAACGATTGTGAAGGGCAAGGTGGAGGAGGTGGAGCTGCTGGTTGACAAGGTGGACATCATCATCAGCGAGTGGATGGGATACTGCCTGCTCTACGAATCCATGCTCAACACCGTCATCTGTGCCCGCGACAAGTGGCTGGTAAGGCGTCGTTAAACGTCATCGTCAGCCATTGTCTGTTCACTGCTATGAAATCTCATTTACCATACACTATGCTAACAACGTTACACCGTACAAGCAAACACTCGTGTTTCTACCATATTCGTTCTATTGACACCATTCCAACAGTATACACGCACACTGCACAATGTTACATTGCCACCACAAACAAAGTACACATCACACCAGCATCGCCAGTGTCTCTCCATTGCTGGATGAAGGCCTCACCTTGCCATCGCCATACCTCATTGTCTCTGGTGGTCATCCTCATAGGCGCGCCTTCATTTTTGGTTGCCGTTTCATCACGAGTCTTAATCCACCAGCGATTGTCCATTTCTAGCGATGTGTCCTTCCCCATGTACACTTTTTATTTTAATTGCTTGGGTGATTTATTTTCATATCACAACCACTGGAACTGTTGGTGATGCTGCTGTGTGGAGTTGTCGGCGTACGCGACTGACGAAACGCGACTCGTCTTGTTCTGTAGAAACCGGGCGGCGCCATCTTCCCCGACCGCGCCTCCCTCTTCCTCACCGCCATCGAGGATCGCCAGTACAAGGAGAACAAAATCAACTGTGAGACCCGCGGCCTCCACAGCGCAAACGCCACGTCCACCACTCTAGCAACCGCAACTATTTTGACTGAGCATTTATAAAAACAAAAATATGCTCTACCCCTTGGGTGGGTGGAGCAGGTTTTCATTTTTGCAACGTTTTGACATATTTTTGACGTAATTTTACACGGTCAGTGTCATGTCCGTGAATATATACCCAGCCGCCTGAATAAGGTCTACACCTACCTCGGAATTATTTTATTCTTCATTCCCACTAGGAACCAATATTTAGGAATAATATTTCTCCATATAAATGGTTGTTCTGTCATATTACTTTAGTTGTGTTACAAAGTTATCTTTGCTTGCAGTATAATTTTACTTTATACCATTTGTTGGTCCCGACGTTCACACCTAACCCTAACCTAGGAGTACAAATAAGCGGGGGGGGGGGGGGACAAATGATCACTGATAAGAACCTGGGGAAGAATGCAATTTGTAAAGCCAATGTTAATTTACACCGGCTTATTCAAATCATGCCGCATGGGGGTAATCGAATCCATTCGCACAGTGGCACGAGTCGACCGGGCAACGGGACCGTGTACGACGTGCCGTCACCGCACGGTGAAGGAACTCGGGCGTACGCGCTGACTTCGGCGCGTTGCTTTCTACCCCCCCCCCCCTCCCCCCGCGTGTGCGCTCAGGGTGGGAGGACGTGTACGGCTTCGACATGTCCTGCATCCGCGACGTGGCCATCCAGGAGCCACTGGTGGACGTGGTGGAGCCCAAGCAGGTGGTCACCAACTCCTGCCTCGTCAAGGTGGGGCTCTCCGTGTAGCTTGCGCTGCCGGTCCTCAGGCCCCCGCGCACGCTGCTCGCTTCTCACAAGTGGATGCTTTGACGATTACAATTACTGCCACTGCGTAGGTGTTTCACGGTAACTCTGTATGGCTCTCCAATTTGGTTCTGCGTTGTGCCTTGTGCTCTTTGGCATTGAAACGTTTGGCCGTTGTGCCGAACAACACCACGGTTACAACCTGAAAACACTTCACAGAGCTGTCGTTTAAATTCCTGTGTGGATTCATAACAAGTGAATGCAACCGCTGTACAAAATGGAATTTGTATCATGAATATATATTTTGTTACTGAAATGTACACTATACTCAGGGTGCTACTAATCGCCCTAGTTTATTAAATCACGAAGTGGTTTAATACAGCAGCCTTAAATGGCTGTGATGGGTAGTGTGAACCTACGGCATAGGATATGTAGGTGAATCGAAAAGCAGATTTTTACATCTGTGATTTGATATCTGTATTGCTCACTAAATAAGTTATAGCTCATTAATGGATGCATCTCTACACCCAGTCCTGTAATGTGTCTATTTGAAATGTTCTGTTAACTTGTAAACCTGTACTGTTAGTAATGATCTGTGCTAAGGTAAGCTGTAATACTGTATTTCTTATTCTGACCGTGTGATATTCTTGGGTCTTTCGGTAAAGTCACGTAGATAGGTTCAAATAAAATAACAAAAAGAACAAAAAACTTCGATGTTTCGATCGCAGCAAAAGTGGTCGTCATCAGGAAAAGTGGATGAAAGACTGACTAAAATTTTCTTGGTGACCGTTTGTGTTGCGAACGTCGTAGTTTTTGTTATTTTCTTAGAACCTATCTACGTGACTTTACCGAAAGACCCAAGAATATTAATTCCTACAGTCACGAAAGCTTTAAGTCAAGATTTGACCATGTGATGTTGTTTATTTATCGATATTTTTTCCGAAATGATTTGTGTGTTTTATATTTTGATCGGTGAGACTCTAAATGGAATGAATCTCAAGTCTTTCATCCACTGTTAATGCAGTTATTTTCCCATCGCTGTCGGTCGTTACGAAAGAAGCTCGCGTGATCGTGGCAGCTGGGAAACGTAGCGGGGCGCATCGTCTGATGGAAACGCCGGCTGACCCAACCTGACCCCCTGTTCGTTGCCTCCCGCAGGAGGTGGACATCTACACGGTGAAGGTGGACGACCTGACCTTCACGTCGCCCTTCTGCCTGCAAGTGCGGCGTGCCGACTACGTGCACGCGCTGGTGGCGTACTTCACCGTCGAGTTCACGCGCTGCCACAAGCGCACCGGCTTCTCCACAGGTGAGCGCCCGACGGAGCTCGCACTCCGCTCGGTGCCCAGGAGCCGCCGCGTCAGTGCCGGCGGTACCAGCGGTGCAAGTGCGGACGGTCCGAGGGGGTGGTTTTTTTTGTCTGGTCCTGCCAAGTTTTCACATTAGAGGACGACGATTGCTTCGTGTATTCCAATGGAGTAGTAATTACCGGATACATTTTTTTATTTGGTCAGTGACCCCGGCACACGATGGGAAGCTACTCTTGCGAATGATGTCACGTGATCTTGAACTTGCGCATTGGAACAGGCGGATGATATTTTTTGGCCAATACGCCAGCAGTAATAACCAGGGAGGCTGCCCCGATACGAACCATGCACCTCTGACAGCTGGGCCGTGTCACCACCCCATACAGTTGATTGTATTGCTCATGGTGCCCGACTCAAATCGTGTGTTTAATGAATTTTGTTTGCCTTTCATGCAAATTGTATGCTCATGCTGATGGTGCAAACAGCTGTACAAACGGTAGCGGTTCAAGAATCACTGTGGTATTTTTTGGCCCGTTTTGAACGACTCGTTTGTATTGTTTCTGATTTACTACCTTGAAAACTCGAGCATTGATGCTGGGCAACACAGTTTTATAGCACATCATCACTCTGGTGGATAAAGTACGTAACTTGTTTTGAATATTTTTCCCACAAGAAGTGCAACAATGCATCAATCAATTATCATTTGTTCAGCTTTTGATATTGCATCAAATGGCATGTGTACATTATTTTTTCTTTGTTTTCATTATATGTAAAAGGTTCATATGAATCCTTCAGCCCCGAGAGGCCACTACATTCACCGCAGTTTTTTCTAAAAAAAAAAGAACTAATTGATTTGTGACCCTGAATCGTGGCAATTCATTAAATTGCCGGCAGGTCCAGTCCGGAAGGGGTGGCGAATCTCACCGTGCAGTGTGTGTGATGGTTGTTCTTGAACGAATTTGAGTAACTGCCATGGTTTAAAGGAAAAACCTGATTGTGGTGTTGTGTGTGTTCCTATTTGTGTTGCGGCTGGAGTGCGTTGTGACATGCCCGTTTGCCCCTGCTAGCGCCCGACGCCCCGTACACCCACTGGAAGCAAACGGTGTTCTACCTGAAGGAGGACTGCCTGACAGTGAAGCCCGGGGAGGAGATCTATGGCACCATCTCCCTGCGCCCCAATGCCAAGAACAACGTGAGTCGTCGCATCTTCCCCTCCCATCACGCACACCTATAACCACCCACACGGGCAGTGTTAATCACCTCGGTGATATTAACAGTGGAAACGTTTGGTTGGCGGAACGATTTTAAAAGTCGAATCAAACGATGGTTTTGTGTGGAGGAAAGTCAGTTTAACACGTAGGCTTTCGCGACCAACGTTTTTGGGTTTAGATCGCGTGTCGGGTGGTGGAGGAAAGTCATCGAGCACGCCGATGATTACGACCATTTCAGTCGGAACGATCCCAACACTGTTCTGGGGGCAATTAGTTTTGCACGCCACATCCATCTGTTCTCGTAATACTACAGTCGGTGCTGTGTAGGAATATCGGGAACAACAGTATAGGATTATTATGGATCTTGTATTCCTGTGCCTTGGCGCTGATGAACCCCCACTATCAAGTCAAGCCCAGCAGCGTTTCAGAAAATATTGTGTGAAATAAGCCCTGTTACCACTAACACAAGCATGACTGACTATAGCGACACGAAATTAAGACATAAGTCGAAATGAAGATGCAGAATAGCATCATTTAAGTAACCTTATTAAGAGACGGCAATGCACTAAGGAAGACCACACATTATAATTGTCTATATATACGTTAATACACATCGAGTTAACTGGTTGGCTGACCTAATATTGGGGAGGGGAGTTGTGTAACACTTGCCAACATTTAACAACTAACAGTGGGCTACATTTCGAATTGAAGATTAGATTAGAAAGTGTTGTTGCCAGGCTGAAATACCCCCTCTATTCTACCCGATTAGTTGCTTCTAAGATTATTTTAGTAATGGATGAGTATTGTTTGTGGGCTATTTTGAAGTGGTGGGCCCTCCTGGGTTTCCCGTCGCTGCTCCGCAAGCTAATTTGTGTGGTGAACGTCGCCCCTGCTGCCGTTTCTGCTTTCAGCGGGACCTAGACTTCACCATCGACGTGGAGTTCAAGGGTCAGCTGTGCGAGGTGTCATCGTCCCAGGAGTACCGCATGCGCTGATCGGCGCGACACGGAGGAGTGGGGGGGGGGGGGGGAGTGTGGGGGGGCGGGAGGGGTTAGACGCACGCAAAACAAAAAGTGAAACGGGAAAATAAACTTAAAAATAAAGAAAAATACCTCCGTACCATCGCCAAAATTTACCTTCAGTCTCGCTTTCATGTGGCAGGAGGGAAAAGTAAGAGTTTTAAAATGTGGTGTCGTTGAATGCTACAATTTTCAACCAATCCGAGGCAACAGCAGATGGATTGGCAGGCACACCGCCGGGGCGTGCGTGGATGGGCGCGTTAGCCGGCGATGCGTTTTGATTACCTTAAGTGAAAGCATTGTTACCTTTACATTTTTGTTTTCAGTTGGCCGATTGTCCCTGGTTAATCGTGGCACAGGAGAGCCACTTTATTCCTGTCTTCAGTATTTTCGGTACTTTACCAGTACGTCACCCCCCCCCCTCCCCAACCTATTTTGGAATGCATTTCTGACGGCGAGCGTGTTCAGCGCTTGGGAGTGCATACGGACGGCCATTGAAGCACCGTGTGTGTACAATGTAGTGTATTGTGGTGTCTGTATTTTAATGTTTTGTTCTGCATTGATAAACTATGGAATTTCCGTCGTCGTATCAGAATACTCATCGTTTTAGTTTTTTCTATATATAAAAAAAAACAGCTTCCGTTTGAATTGGTGCGCAGGTTTTTGTTTTTTTTGTCGTTCCCATTCATTACGCGGCGTTTAATTATTTTGTACAGTTCAACGTTTAAGATGGTATTGGGGGGGCCTTTTAAAGGTGGCATAAATGTTTGAGCTAGTGGAGGAGAAACAGCTGTTGCTGTCGCTTCTCCCCCTTATTGCGTTTTACCCCTTTTTCCACTGCACCAATCGAGCCTGTGCCCAGCCAGTCCGGCGTGGCTCGGGAGCATCTCCAGTTCCCCCCCCCATGCTGCAGAACCAGAACTGTGGCCCGCTGACGCTGCACGCAGTAAACTTCGGTTGCGTCAGTCTTGTACCGAACGACACAAGGTGTGATGCTACTTTCGCGCCGGGCCACATTGTGACGTCTTGCGAGGCCATAGTTTGGCGGTTTGGTTCCAGCTCAGCGTGGCAAATAGCCGGCGGTAAAATTGCCCGTAAGGTGATGGCATCGCCGCGCTGACATGGCTTGAATTTGTCGGTGGAAAAGGGCTGGTAATGGAGACTGGATGCGCTGGGCGCTGTTCCGTATCGCGTGCTTCGATATCGCGCTGAGAGTGCGGCGAGCCTGCGATTCGCTACAGCTCGACGACTTGCACTGCAGTATTTCTCCTCTGCGGGGGGTTTAGGCTACGTGGGACGTACTTGCACGCGCGTGTCCTCTCTTGACTGCCCCGGGCTGATTTGGTGCGATGAAGGCACGGCCATTGAGAGCACCCTGCCGCGGTGGGCCCCGTTGCGATTGTCCCCTCGGAATCCGTTTGGGCGAGCACGCGTCTCTACTCTTGACTGTTCGACTGTCTGTCGAGTTGGCTTTAGTTTTTTTTATACAACACAGGCTCTAAAACTGCCTTGTGTACCATTAAGCAAGGCAATCCCCGGTGGCACATTCATTCCACGTGGTTTCCCATAAAGGGCTTTCCAGTTGACGCGGTCGGCTCTTGTCACCAGGCCCTGTCCATTACGAGTTGAACAGGGGAGCACGGTGGACTTGTGTGCACGTCCGGTTCAGTGACCAGACGGTTCAACTTGCCATGGTTATGTTTTGTGGGTGAAATGGCCTGCTAGTTTAGCCTCGCTGGGGAAAGCGGCGGTGGGGGGAGTGGGTAATAAACGTCATTTTTAATCCTTCCAAAAGCACGCTGTGCAAAAATGTCTAAAGAGAATGTGAAGGTAGGTTAAACTTGGTGCGATGGAAGGTCTCGTGTGCGATTGTCGTAAGCCAAGGCAGCCTCTGGTTCGAGTTACTTAGCCTTTGGTCTGATGACCCTGTGGTCTCTCCATCTCGGCTGCCCCCGTCCGTACAGCAGCTGGAACCGGTGCTGTCTCTAATAAGTAAACCTCTGCGCTTTAGCCCTACGCAGGTGCCGTTTTAACCCATTTATGGATGACTGTGATATTGTTTTTGTACAAGGATCCCAATTGGCGAGGTTGAAAAGCAAGCACATGTTTTTTTCATGAAATGTCCCTGCGGCTCTCCCATGTGTTTTCGGGTTTTGACGCGCATTGATCGACATCATGGTCCTCAACGGTTTGCTCTACGTGCTCGAAGCTTCAAAGCTGAAGCGACGACAAATCGGACATCGTGCCAAACAACACGCAGTTACAACCCGTACACACATGGGATGGCACAACCGCGAAAACCTGTCGTTTAAGACTCCTACCTGGAAATATTTGTGCGTGCTCGTATATGGGATGCACGAATTCCAAGCATGGATTCATGAAAACCTTTAATAAACATTACATTTAAAAGTACCGTAACATTTCTGTTGTGAATGGAAATCCATTAATTTCTTAACTATTTGGAACGTTTCAAGATTGTAAGGTCCCAAAGTGTTTTTTTTTTTATCGAGTAAAAAATTTGCACGCGACTCAACATTGTATTTTGTCGATGAACGTCCATTTGTGGGTCGGCCACTGTCCTTGAAGGCGGCAGTGGGTCGTGCGCTCCACGCCGCACGCGATGCCTCGCCGACGAGTCGATTCTCTCCACCACCGTGTGCGTTTCTCCACTTTCAGGAAACCTTTCTCGAGCTCTGTTTCTCCGCAGCTCGACGAGTCTGCTCCATCGATGCCGTTTTACCTCCCCCTTGATGTGTTTGTTCGTCAACGGCGGGTGACGCTTGAGCCAAGTGGCCTTTCCCTGTTGCCTGGTCCGAGTCTGTACGGTTGCCATGTGGTGTTGTTTAACTGAAACGCGCCAAGCAGGAAAATCGCGCCACCACTTTGATGCGATCTTAATCCGGTGGTTGGTAGTTTTGATACGTTCGGTCGGTGTGTTCCATTGGATAAATGGCTTTGGTTAAGTGACGACTGCAATATGGCACCATGGCTTTCATCAATGTTGATATCAGGTTCGACAGGCCACAACCAATGGAAAGCTTTCAAAAGGGTTGCTGGAGGCGGCAGTGTCGTTCGTGCGTAATAGTTTGAACATAAAAAAAACGAACTCCTATCGTTAAAAATACACCGAATTAAAGTGTTGAATGGTAAAACATTTAATGAAAGGGGCAGCGTTTTAGAAACTTAAGGTTGAGGTGAAGCCATGCGTGAGCTAATGGTTCCGTGAAGTGCATCGACCTTCCAAATAATTTTATAAACAGTTTTGGGAAAAAGATGTAATTTTCAAAGCCCCCTCCTGAAACGGCTGCCGTCCAATTTACCTGAGAAGGTTGCTATGCCAACTGAACCACGGGAGAGAAAGCCACTTACAATCTGACCATTAAATGGTAATATTTTAAAACCTGAAATGCTTAAAAACAATTAGGTATCCCCCTATATATGGGTACAACTTGCATAAATGGGTTAAAAGTGCTGCCACGTGTGTGGCCTGGAACAGTTTTTAAAGTTGCGTCACCTTTCCCTGAAACTGCGTTGCATTTTGTGCGGTCGTGTTTTTTTGTATTTTTTCCCTCCACCCCTCCCTCCCCTCCCGTAGCTTTGTTTCTATTTAACTGCAGCTGCGATAAGTCTACCAAGTCCGCCACGTGCTGTGCTGTGGACTTGCCGTGTCCACGTTCCCCATTCATTCGTGTGTGTTCAGCTGCTGTTTTTAAAGTTTATTTTTTATTGTACTTATTGTGAGGGTGCAACTAGTCGACAATAAAGCTGAGAGCCTCCGTTGCAAATGAGACTGTGTATGCCTTCCTCCCACACACAGCTCCTCTCACTATAAATGTATTTATATATATTAAACACATTCTGATTGCACAGCAAAGGTCAAAAATGGCAAGCAGGCACGTAAACTGCACTCCAGATATTGCAATAGATGAAAGTTTGTACGTTTCTTCAAATTGGAGGAACGTTTTCACAACCTGGAAAGAGAGGCAATGGTTGGGGAAGGGTATTCCAAAGTTGGGAAGGCGCAAAGAAAGAAGCAGAAATGAGTTTACCTGCGGAGTTTTGGTTGAACGTGGTGTGGATGGACCAGCTCCTCAACACGGGAACGGTCACCATCGTAGCAAGAGAAGAGTGATAAGCAGGTGACCGACCACTGAAGGTGGCTTGGAGTGAGTTGTTTAGTGCCGGGTTCAATCGCGTAAATATACAGGTGTCGTTAAACGCGACAATTCGTTACTAGTTCGGCACACCGGTGTGTTTGAGAAAACCCAATCGAATCGTAAATTATGTGGGCTTACTCTCCAACACACCGGTGTGCTGAATTAGTCAAAGATTGACATTTTTTGTTACTGTGACGAACCTTACTAATTGACTGTCGAGTAGCGGCGGGTTTAACTAAACGTTTATATTTACGAGATCTAACCCAAAAACCTCGTGGATGTTGGTCGCGAAAGCCTACGTGTTAAACTGGTAAGTGCTGGATCATCAACATTCCTAGATAAAACACGTATTAATTAGTTTGGTTTATGAATTGTATATTTTTTCCCTATACCAATTGTGTCCTCTGTTCGCGTGGCATGGCCACGTGGAACTCTGGGAGGAGCGCGTCACCCCGCCATGCATCTGCGATTGGTCACATGACGGGTAACGTCACAACTCCTTGGGAGACATTTTACATTGAGACACGAGGGGGTGCGATTTCCCACATGCCCGCCTGCAAAAGACATTTGTCATCCATGCTGAACTAGTAACGAATTGGCAGGTGTTGTTCACGTGACAAACCTTACTAATTGTCTATGCCGGGTGGTGGCGGGTTTAACAACACATTTACACGATCAAGCACAAAACACCTCATGGATATCGGTCGCGAAAGGCGACGTTAAACAGACATTTGTCACATTGTGAACCGTTATTTTGCATTACGAGAGCTGGAATTGGGTCAAATAATCTTTAAATATAATTAACTTTTTTTGTTGGTGTGTTCATAACTATACCTGAGCATCGACTCAATACACTTGATGGCAGTTGCGGCTCCTGCAAAATCTCTCAGGGGGGGCAAATGTTTGGATGATTGATAAGGATAAGGTCCACCCATGTAATGGATAAATTAACAGCTTAAGCATGTAAAGGCAACTTCACTTCTTTAATATTAATGAAAAATAAAGTGACTCTTACAATACATCTTGTTTGTTTATATACTCACTATTAAAACAAACCACTCAAGTTTATTTTATTAAAGATTCCACTAGGTAGTGATAAATTATATTGTTGGATGAAACGTGCTTACGTATGATGACGTTAGCACGTATGATGACGTAAGCACGTTAGGGCTTGCCCTCCCAGAAGCCATAGAGAATGCATTGGAGCGCCCCCGTTCGAAAAAAAACATCTTTGAATGTAAGTCTATGGGGCCACTCGGGGCGATTCTCAGCCGGAGTGAAATCGCCCAAAAAGAGGCGGTACTCCACAGAACGTGACATGACGCTGATTGGACTATATCCAGAGGCTGACAGTGACGGCTAGCGTGACTGTGGTTGAATGACATTGGTGGTGCGTCGCCCAATCGCCCTAATGAAGAAACCGCCCCTGCTTGATGGCCTGGCTTACATGACGAGCTATTCAGACCTGGCGAACAAGTGCTGGCTCGGTGCTTTGACCCCTGCGGCACGGGTCAGGACAATAGCAAAATACTGATACTGGAAGAATCCGATGAGCTATAAAGCTCTTTTTTTAGATGTCCAGGATGCAATAGAAAGCACAGCTGGAAGTGGAATGGACAACTTCACCGCACAGCTGTAAAGCCCCAGTAGTTATCGGAGTCCAGGGGTTGCGTGGCGTGCCTAGAGTCCATGGGCCAGAGTAGCAATTTGTACCACCTAAGGGTAGCAGCATATTTAGTGGTACTCATTTACACAGCTCATAAGAGTGAATTCGTTGAAAATGGTAAGCGCATAATTTACAGCGATTGGCCACTTGAATTAATTGTAGCCATTCAAATAATGGCGCATCGGGTGATACCGGTAAGCGAGGTGTCTGGGCTCATGGACATCTTTGTATATTCAGACATACGGACAAAGGTGATTCGGCATCATTTGCGTTTTAAAGTTTATATATAAACCGTGACGATTGAAAACCTTAGCAAACATTTGATTAGCAGAGGCTCCAGCCAATCCATTAACACCATGAAGGGAAATCTTGACCTTTTCGCGAGGGAAGTCGCTTTCATGTCAAATAAATAAACCGAGCAGAACACCCACGTAATGTCAACAGCATTCCAACTTTGACCCCCGTTCGAAGCTCATTATTATTAATCCTCCACCGCGATGCCCTTTTCGTTAAGAATACATAAAAAATTGAAATATCGCAAAACGCGAACAGCCCTGAAAACTGCGACATAAAAATGCAAGCATTGGCCGGAGAGGGGGGGGGGGGGGCCTTAAAAAGCCAGGAGGTTAAAAGTGTTGAGGTGGCCTTGTGAAGGGGGGCGGCACCACAAAGGCACTCCCGTTGCCTCGTGCAACGTTCGAGTCACGTTCCAAGTCGCGGGCGCTCATCCGGTGTCCCCGCGTTACTCAACGTAGCGGGGCGGCGAAGCCACTTGAGCAAAAAGAAAGCCCGCAGCGGTAAACGCAACGGCAAGAGCAGCAGCGGCAACAGCAGCAGCAGTAACAGCAGTAACAGCAGCAGCATCAGCGATTGGCACTCTCTGAAGGAATGTTTAAAACATTCCTAAACGGACGACTCGGTCGACAGGCGAAGGTGGTGCCAGTTTTCCAGTCCCTTGTTCAGCAGAACTCTTTTGTAGCAGCAGGAGGGCTCGGTTGGAGAGTCCGAGGAGGATGTATGTGCGTCCCTGTGGTGGACAAGATGATGGGAGTACGGGAGACCAGGCAGGCTGGCTCGTGGTCGAGGTTTCAACGTTCACGGAGGGCGATTTGTTCAGAGCTCCCAACAGACATCATCAAAGTAAAGTGCAGATTCCCGGCAATGGAGGCAGTCAAGCTTAGTACAGCACGGCCGTTTCAAGTAATACCCCTTTTCCAGTGCAGAACCCGAGCCGTGCCGCTATCGCCGCCAACAAACATGATTAACCTTGCCCCTGGCACCGCTTGGGTCCCGAGCCGGATTCAGAAGTCTTGTTGCGAGGCCAGAGTTTCGCAGATCGGTTCTGGCTCAGCGCGGCAAAAGAGCCAGCGAAACCCACCCCCCGTACCGCGAGGGCTCCGCGTTGACGTGGCTCGGATGTGCCAGTGGGAATGGGCCTACAACAAGAGCCCCGTCCTTTGCCGCAGGCAATCGGGAGGCATGGGTATCGGCGTTTGTCCCAAGCGACGACGACGAGGAGGAGGATGATGAGGTCGGGAAGCGTGGCGACTTCACGCCGGCAACAGTCGTTGGCGAGGAGCGGCGCGCGTACGGAA